TCACATCGTGATCTCGACTCGTAACGACACAATTGAAAAATCCATGAGCTATCCTTGACCTTGGAATCTACTTTGTATGTGGCACAAGGCCTCTCCAAAGCTGGTACCTGTTCAAAAACTTATAAACGCTTTAGCATACGGTTAGCATGGACTCAAGTGATGGTCCAATATGTAATAAATATTTATAAATCATTTATTACAATTTGGATCAAACTGAGCTTTTGCGCGAAGAGCGAGAGTTATACATGGATGCTGGATAAATTCATACTTTGATTAAGCTGTTGGGAAACATTTTCAAGGTGGCCGACACAGTTTCAAGCATCGGTTGAACAGTTCTGCTGTGAGGAACTATGGTCGTCAGTATGACGTCGACCAGGTTGTGAGAATAGAGATTCCCTCATGGTTGAGTGCGGATGGATGCCCAAATGTTCTTATAGTCCATCGCTAGATTGATCCGGCGGAAAGCGGAGCGATCTAGTTCAGTCACTTTGATGCTCCACCGGAAAACTAAGTGCCAATCAAAAACCTATCCGGTTAGCCTGCCCGCACATTCTTCCATCTTTGGTCCAAAAGAGGAGAGTCACAGCGAAAAGAAGAACTTCCGTCACGGCTCACTGCAGGATGACACCTGCCTGGGTCTATGAAGGCCCTATATAGGGGCTATGTATAAGTTTGTGTAGCTAAACCCGTCCCAAACAATGGAGTGATCTTGCAATATAGTATTCTATCGTGTTCATGAGTAAAATTGGAACGTGTTGATGGTGAGAAGGACAAAGTTGTTAAAGAGATGGTGATTAGTGATTTTAGGATTGGGATTCACAAGAATTATCAGCAAAATCACTTGGCCAAAGATGTTAGTCCACCTACGTGTAACCTAGTCCTAGTGACCTTGTCGTTCTTGTACGTGTGTCGCTTCCTGTGAAGCTTTCATCTCTCGGTTGATTGCCGTCGTTTTTGAGAGCTTGCTGTAGCGTGGTGACACTTACTCTGATACGTGCAATGATTTGGCTTCCTTCAGAGCAACACGGATGGAATCATAGCCAGTGTTACTGTTCAGTGCCATCCGAAAGCCTCGAAACAAGCATCGAGGGGTTCAGTGAAGTCAATCTCGTGTCCTCGTCAGTTGAAATATGATTGTCATCGTAGAAGACGATAAGCTTTCCTAGACCCCAATGGTCAGCAAAGGATGCGGTCTTATTTGAAGTACCCTTCATGTTGCATACATCTCTGAGTATACAGTAGGAGTATACAGTAGGTGTGAAGATCGACGGTTTTTGGCATCAGGCTTGCTGAATCTGGCCGCCAAATGAGCCTCGGCAAGAGCCAAACCAAAAACGTTGATGAATCCTGTCCTAGAGGACAAGGGTAACCTCAATTCTAGGATGACTTGGCCTTCAAGAAAAAGATGTAGTCCTTGTTAATCATGCTCATACGATGACTAATAATCTTTTCAAATCCCGTGAAATATACCTTAGTTGTGATACATGCACATGGACAAGAAGGTTAGATTTTTGTACTTTCTTTTATACACTTTATAGCTTAGCGTGGTGAATCTACTTGTGCAAAGTGAAGCCTTAAAGAGCTGAGAGAGAGAGTTTGATCATATCACAACATAGAGTAGAACTTGTTGGCCAAATGATGCACTTTAGTGAGGTTATTGGATCATTGTGAGGGTTATATACAATGAAGTGGAGGGTTTGTATTTTGGATGGTAATTTGATGTGCATGACATATTGACAACCCGGATATATCAGCAAGATCCAACCTATCTTGCTGAGCTGGCTAACACTACCCACCTTGAAACAGTAGGAAGAAAAAATCCAAGGTATTGATGGATGTATGACTTGGCCTTGAAGAAAAGATTAAGTCCTGGTCATCCGTGCAAACAAGATGACTCATATTTCTTTCATGCTCGTTAATTGTAGCTAAATCATGATACATGCATCTAGACATGAATGTTTGGGTTTCAAACTACCTATTGTATTAATTCAATCGGCGAGTTTGTTTGCGCAAAGTGGAGCTTTAAAGAGCTAAGAGAGAGTCCAATCATGTCACAACACATAGCAGAATCTTGTTGGCCAAGTGATGCATTTAAGCCAAACGTTACGGGGCCATTGTGAGAGACATATTAGGTGATGTGAAGTGTTCGTACTCTAGATGATCATTTGGCTAACACAACCCACATGGAAAAGTGTGAATGAGAAACCCAAGGGATTGATGGGGAGATGATTTTGCCTTCAAGAAAAGATTTAGTCCTTGTCATCCATGTACATACAATGACTTAGGATTTTGGACTTCCTAATGTACAACTTAGCAAGGCAAGTGTGCTTGCGCAAAATGGAGCGTTAAAGAGTTGGGAGAAAGTCCCATCATGTCACATCAAAGAGCTGTATCTTGTCAGCCAAGTGATGCACTTTAGCCAAACGTTACCGTGATATGAAGGGTTTGTACTCTGGATATTCATTTGATCTGCACAACCTAGTGAAAGCCCGGATGTATCAGCAACATCCAACCTATCTTGCTGAGGTGGCTAACAAAATCCACCTTGAAACGAGAGGAAGGAGAAACCCACACGATTGATGGAAGTATGACTTGATCTTCAAAAAAAGATTTAGTTCTTGTCATCCATGTACATACAATGATTCATACTCCTTTCATATCTATTAAACGTATCTCAGTTGTAGTCTATGCACCGAACGGGAAGTTTAGGTTTTAGACTTCCTAGTGTACCATTTAGTCCAACTAGTCTACTTGAGCAATTTGGTCCTTAGAAAGCTGAGAGAGAAACACAAATCAAACTTTCAATAGCTATAGATGAAAAATTTAGAGATAAACTATTCATGTCTTCGTTATCACAGATTGATCTGACATACATGCACAGTTGCTGAAAGCGTAGATATTAAATTGTTTCATCTTAATAAAATTTATCTAATTTTTCCTTGAGTATCAAAGTTTGAAACTTAATTTATTGTGAAGATGTACATAATTAATCTAATCAAAAATTGATGTTCATTAGATAATCTGATTAAAGATATAAATTTCATTTACTTGATTTCATCTATTACATTGATCTTAAAATTTAATGCTGTATGATGAAAACTACTTCATAAATAATGATTTGTCGTAAAAATTGATACTTACTCATATCGCTTTGAATTACTAATAGATTGAATTGCTAATCATTCATATTACTCTAATTTTCAAATACCACAAATGTGTTTGTAGATTTTTGTTTAATTATAAAACATACACATGATGAAAATGGAGTAATGTCAACTCTTTTTTTTTTTCAATTTCAAAAAAATATTTCAGTGAAGAAAAGAACATGGTAAGTACTAATGTAAGTCAGAAAAAATTAAACTGACTTTCATTTGATAATTGAATTTGATGCTTAAATTCATACATATCATATTTTTATTTTAGTTGATGTGAACTGCAAAAAAAGCGGATCTACTTGATTGGGTTACTTAAATATAGATGTGGTATAGACACAATTATTCTAATAACGATCACGATGACATTTCATGGATCTTAAGAGTTGAGAAGTTAATTGGCGTGCAAATATATAGAGTCTTAGAGTGTATGCTTAAAATAAAGTAATGACTAACTAAGAAATCATTTTGGAGATTAAATCACAGGAAGTAAAACAGTAGACAACATTATGATTATCAGTAGAATATTCTTTAACTGATATTATCTTTGTCAAACATGTATACTTTTTAAGTTTACATGGTTTTGAAGTTCTGAATAGTGTTGTTTAGTTTTCATATTAGAAGCGCAGCTTGTGCATTTAGAGTTTTTACTGTATTATTGTTGCTGACTTGAACTCCAAAATAATTAAGCACAACTTTTCATGAGAGATATGTATAAGTGTTTGCGTGCTAAAATCATTTTTCATTCATTTCAATTTGAAAGAGGAGGTATGTGACTCGCTGCATAAACTTGAAATTATCTACCGATCTTTATATCTAACAAGATCCAACCCCGATTTATTATATTTTTACCGATGTTTCCAGAAAAGATAAGAAAGTTTCGGAACATACTTAGAAATAAATGATACCTCGGACAACATATGAAACCTGGAAACGAATTATCTGAAGATAACCAATTTTGCTTGCCTAGGTTTCCTTAATGTGTGTTTCATTTTTGTGCATTAAACTAGCTGATATTTTTATTTATTTAGAGCTTAGAAGACACACTCTCAAATTTTATAAAACTAACTCATTCAGCCAATAAATGAAAGTAGAAAAAATAAAATCCTACCTATTTTACTCAAACATACAACGGATCTTAGTTCTACAGTCGCAGATAATATCAGATTACATTAGGTACTTATGTATATATTAATATAAAGATTAACAAAGACGACAACAACAAACTGATAGAATCTTGAGTTCCAACTTCAGCCTTGAAGATATCAACAGGATAACGCAAGTTGTATAACTCCACAGTTGTCCAAATTACGGGCCCTCAATGCTAGCACTCGATACTAACAGACTCAAGGCAACTGCGTACTCAGAATTGTCATTTCTCAAACTAAACGTTGATCATCAGACCTAACAAGCAAAGATGGAATGGTTTTGGACGTCTCCAAAGGTTCACAAAATAAAAATTGCAGCTTAGATGCAAATTTATCAAACCCCCTTCAGAACCGGTTCTTATTTTTTTTATAAATGTGCAAAACTGAACACTACACACTCAAGAAAACGTGAATCTCAGTTTTCAATGGCAATATGAGTATTCAAATTGTTGTCAATGAAAACCGAATGGATCGATTTGCAAGTTTCTGATTATTTTGGTGCGAGTACAAAGGGAATATAACGTACCAATAAATAGTTAAACTGATCTTTTTGTAGAGAGGAAGACATCCAGATTATTTTATTGCTTTGACCTCAAACAGCTGTGGAGTGTGATTTCGTTCAGAAAATTAAAATGAAATGCACAGGGCTTAAACCCTGAACCCTAGAGAATCGAGTGGAATCCAGGAGATTATCGATGTTGAAGAATCGAAAGAATTCCGAAGTAAATTTATTGCTTGATGCAAATTGAGCCCAACAGTTTCTACTTTTCTTCCGGGACTATATTATTCCAGGTTAGGAAGAATAAATCAGTAGCTAGCACCCTACACATGTAACACGGCAGCGACATTAAGGCTTCACTGATTGCCCACTGCAGTTAACGAGAATTTTTCCTCTACTATCTGATCGGCTAATCATCGCACTAAACTTATTACACTGCTTATTGCATTATGAACGCGAATGACGTTGCCGTCTATATGTTTGAAAGGAACTGAAGTTTGTCTGTGATCGGTTCCAGATTCCCAGACTAAGCGCTGAATCTGGATCCTGCGGCACGAGTGAGAGCAGAATGTAAATTTCGCTTCCAGAACGGATTAAGTGAAAGGCACGTGTAAGCACATGGATGAAGATCCCCAACGTGATGATATTTTTAATCATCCGACCTTCCCTCCTTAAAACCTTCATGTGTTGGAGTCGGTGAGCACTTTTATGTCCGAAGGGAACAGTCCATCTCCGAAAGACTGACCAAAATGGAAGAAGAAATTGTTGCTGTAAAAGCTGAAGACGACAGCATCACCCGGTGACAGTCACTGGAAGATGATCGACATGTCCCAGCGTTGGCTGACCGTGCTAGGATATCGAACGGGGAAAGATTAAGATGAAGGAGCGGGAGATGGTGATTTCGATGGAGGAGAACGGGGGATAGAAGGCTGAGGAAGAGTTGGAATGTGAGTGGGAAGAGGTGGAAGTGTTGGAAGAGGAGGTAGCGTGGGAATGTGAGTAGGACGAGGTGGAAGCGATGGAAGATGAGCAGGAAGAGGTGGAAGAGTAGGAAGAGAAGGCAGGTTTGGAATATGAGCAGGACGAGGTGGAAGAGTTGGGAGCGGAGGTAGCGATGGAAGATGAGAAGGAAGAGTTGGTAGAGGAGGCAGGGTAGGAAGCTGAGTAGAAAGAGTTGGGAGCGGAGGCAGTGTTGGAAGCTGAATAGAAAGAGTTGGGAGCGGAGGCAGCGTTGGAAAATCAAGAATCATACGAGCTCCCAGGACCGAAGGCAGAAAAACCGCCGTAAACGAGATGAAACACATGAGTTTCACTGCAGACTCCCTCAGAGATCGGTACGTGGTCATCATCTTGATAGAATGCTGGACTGGATCTGTGTTTTGTTATGCAACTCTGTGTTGTTTCGAACTGCTTCCTGGTCTGCAAGTTGATTCTTGCTCTCAAATGCTGATGAGGGATGCAGTGAAAGTAAGGAATTTATAAGGGCCAGATTAGGACTGAGATCTATGAGTGTATTATGGCAGGCGTGATGTCAGACTCAGGGCAGGTGGAGAGTTCAGTAGTAAGTGAGAGTATGATGGTACATGTGACCTGAGAGTCAGGGCTGTTTGGAGTTCGGGCAGTAAGTTACAATTTCCTACTATTATTGAATTTGGCCTTGTCGGATTTCTAGTGCCTGAATCTGAGGACTAAAGTTATGAACATAAGAAGTCGTGATGGACTATCATTTTTTATTGCTGAAGCCTCGACTAGTTTTTGCAGTCAATTGTTGGTGGATAAAGTCAGATCGATAACTTTCCATGTCTAAATCTAATGTCAACTACGATGTTAGAGTGTAACTCAGTGAGACGATCATATGTTTGATTCCAGAAAATAGTCAGCTCACCTAAAAAACGATTATTCCTGATTCTAGAGTCTTCAGCTGACAAAGAATATTATGGCCAACCACATGGAATATCCAAGGATATGATCCAGACTTTCAGAGATGTACGATATTAAATCTATATTAGAGAAGATGAGCTTCAACGGTATTCAAGTATGAGAGGAAAAATATTGCGACCCAGACTATTTTTGTTGGGTGATTGTGGGTAATTGGACTGTTCGATAATTTCGGAAGGTAATCAATCGACTGTCTCAATTAGTGATTCACATGACTTGAGTGGTGCGTCATTCGAATTTTATGTCTGAGTTGCATCAATTTTATATGCATTTAAAAGTATGCAGCTAAGATATCCATGTCAAATCCTGATCATACTGAGCAGAACGTGATAAACGTTAATATCGTTCTGTGAAGATACTTGAGAAGGTGTCTTCCTACCCTGTATTAGGTACATCAAATTTCCCCATGTAAGCATTGAACAAGAGCTTTCATATTGACAAGGGTGATTCGTGCAATGAGCAGAGTATGGAATCACACTGTCGAGTAACGGTATGCAGAAAAGTTTGCTGTTAAGGAGAAATTTCTGAACAAGAATCAGAAATGAAAACTTCAGGGCTAAATTAGCTCATGCATAAAAAATACGTCTCTTGTTTGGATAACAAAAAAGTTCACCAAACGGAAAACTACATAATGAAATCTACAATTCACATCATCAAGGAAATTTCGTTAGAAATCTAGAGTAAGAAATAATAGAAAAATTTCAAATTTTGTGACCCATGATTAGTTCATTTAGTGAGTATTCGGTGTACTTGTCAGAAAGGTTAGATGAAACAAAGTGATTGTGTTTGATAAGAAGGAACTAAGCAATTCATTCTTATCTATTAAATTTTTATAAAAATAGCACAAAAAGAACTATTCTACAAGTATATATTTGGATGAATTTGATGATATTTCGCCAACAATATGCATGACATGCCAATTTGATCAAATTTGCGGAGAAAAAGGTTTATTATTGTATATAGCTCTATCAAAAAGTGAATTTTATTTAAAAAAAAATAAAGTTATCATTGCAATCAACGCCAATTCTGTTAAATAATTTTAAGTAAATCACAAAACTAATGTCTATATAACAAAATGTTACTACTCTCCGAAATTCAAGAGTATTATTAAGTTGTGTTGAATTTAAAATCTATAAATGGCAAATAGATCAAACATGATTAAAAAGATTTAAAAACACAATACAAACAATCCAAATCCAATCAAGTAGAAAATCCAAAGAACTTTTAAATTAATATCAAAAACACTAGAACGATAATTAATAACATACCTAATGTAATAATACCAAATTCAAATTGAAATAGATATTAAAAATTCTCAACAATAATTTTATGAGACACTTTAATATATATATATATATATATATATATATCTAGTATAAGAAACACATGCTCTTCATCCTTAACATTTCTCCCATCGCATAGTTTACAAATCTGTTCACTCGTATCAATATTCAATCAACGTACTTTTTCAATTTCAAGCCTATGAGATCTTGTTATATGACTGGAGATAATATGATGTAATCATGTAGAAATCTCCGTAAGTAAGTATACTTTCTCACAATATATAAGCTTAAGATTCACATGAAGTTTATAAAACTCCATTTTAATGATTCGTTTATTCCAAATAACGTTGAAAAATTCTCCTTGATACACTCGCAGAGGGCCATACGTTGCAAATGCTAATCGAGTTCCGTCACATTCCACCTCAAATACCAAATCACCACATCTGCAAACCATCCTTTGGGACATGTGGCACACAAAGCTTCAAGAGGAAGTCGAAGGGCATCAAGAAATCTCACTCTTTTGACGTAAGTGATAGTCAAAAAGATAACTTCAGCCTCAAGAAGTAAACAACATGTTTCTGTCAGAAGAATAGCATATGAAGTTTGTGTACTCACACCCAATTCTTTGTGTTAAAATATTTTTTTGCACCATCTTCAAACGCTATCAACCTATCTTCTTAGAACCAGTACCCCAAACTTGTGTTCTATATAAGATAACGGAAAACACTAAGCTTCTTAATAAGAATTTCTTGAGACTCCAAGACACTAGATAAGCTCATTTACATTTATTTAACAATGAATATAGACCTTTGAAACCAGTTTCTACATTCTTTTGCACACAAAGTGGTCAACTATAATCGTAAGAAAAATCAATGCCTAAATATTTATAACTCTTCACTTGTTCCAGCTCTAATTCTTTGTAAAAGAAAAAAAGCTTGGATCTAATGTCCACAAGAATGACTTTTGACTTCTTCAAATTGATCTCCATCTGATTTTGAGTACAAGCTAGCCAAAGTGTCCATGTGTTTTTTGTAAACTAATGGCATCACGTACTAGTAATATGACATCATCTTCATACAAAAGAGCTTAGATGACAAAGCTTCCAAGTTTGACACCTTCGCTTTCACAATACTCTAATCACCTTTCTATATCATCTATGAAAACTCCAAAGAGAGTAAGAGATAGAGTGCAACCTTGAATGACTCCAATGATACTCAAAATCTCTTTGGTTTGAGAAGTGTTGATCTTGGCCCAAACGGAGTGGTATAATGTGACCACCGTCGCTAAGAGATCTAATAGTACTCCAATCGTTTGCAATCGTTTTCATAAAAAATCACGAGGTACTGCTTTAAAAGTTTTTTTGAAATCAATGATGGCACAAAACAAAACTTTTCCATTACACGTGAAATTTTTCCAAAAAACACGCAAAATCAAAATATGGTCTATAGTGTTGAATGTCGGTCAAAAACTAACTTGGAACTGCGCTATCTTCTAACAAGATTTGACCCATGTGTTCAACTTTGACTTCACCAATTTTCCAAATAACTTTGCAAAAATACTACCCACCATGATAGTCCAATAGTTTGTCATCAAGTCTTTGCTCCCAGAATGTAAACAATCTTCCGTAGAGATCAAGTTGAAGAAAATCCATAAATAGCAGCATTCTCTAACATTTTAGTGAGTATAGGTCCAATAACATCTACTTTTCACTTGAGAAGTTCAATTGAAAGACATCAAAATCCTCACATTTACAATTTGCCAAGTGTCTGAGTTGGGTCATCACTTCAGCTTCGGAAAATAAGCCAGATTTTCCTTCACGACATGGTATTGATGCAACATTGTACATAAAAAAAGTTTTTCAGCAAAAGAAACCAAATACTTTAGATCAAGAGTAGGTTTGGAAGATCGCACTGCCAATCTCTTCCAAGAAGATTTGGGATTCTCCAACAGCTCCTTTGTCAAACACTCTTGCTTCCGCCTCAGAAAAGCTTGTTTCTTAGACTTCATCAAGTCTTTGTAGAGTCTTATCATAATAAGCATAATTGTCAAGATCCAAGGATTTATCAATTGATATAGTCATTGCTTGCTTGCAATAAAGCGAAACCATACATTGGAAGTAAGAACTCTAGCTTTCATGTTCTTATGTTTCCAAAAAAACTTAAATCAGAATTTTTAAGTAACTATGTTAATTGCAAACTAGTTGTATGTAGATCAAGGCCCCAAATAATAAGAGTTAAGAGTTCTTGTAAATGTTGACTACAAAGTTGCTTTTTAGTAGATCTAAACGAAACTTGGGGAAAGTACAAACATAGTGACATGTAGAGAGAGTATTTGACTTTGATACTAAATAAAAGAATTGTATGATCTGATTCTGGTTGAGGCTCTAGAATATCAAAGGTTGAGATAAATAAATTATTAGTGGCAGAAGACAAAAGATAATCTATGGAAGAAACATTAAGAAGTAACTTCATATTCTAAATATTTATATCCATAACATGAATCTCAACTATATATAACCTAAAATTTATTCAATTGTTTTTCAGATGAAAATAATCCTATGAAGGATGAATCATGTTATGATTGCATATACTCTTGTTTGTCTATTTGTATGTCGTATCACTGGCTTGCATATTTCGGAGTTACAAATGGTCTGAGAGCAAAGTTATATTTTTTTTACAATGTGTGGCAGGTTTGTCGCAGGCGAACTTGGCTGACAAGTATTTTTTCCGCTGAAGGGTTTTTCGACGATAATGGGTTTTCTGTAGCTGAAGGGCTTTTTATGGTGACGGTTTTCCGTCGCTGACGGATTTTCGAGGCGAGTTCGAGGTTTTTGAGGTTTTTTGAAAGTTCGAGGTTCTAGACTATTCGAGGAAACTTTATGTGATGATCCGTTCGAAAACAGGGTTCGGGTGCTCGACGATTCTTGTTTTGTGGCTGTGAACGTGAATTTTGTTAGGAGACAAGCTGAGCTGACCGGAACGAAACTATGGGCAGAACTTGTTTCCTTTTCTAGTGATTAGTGAGCATCTTTCCGAGCATTCTTGTTGGTAAATTCAGCGAAACATAGATTCCAGAAGTTAGTTCACCGTCCCTTCTTCAACAGAATACGATCACTTGTATTATCGAGAGCGTAGTCGTTAAGGAGAAGCAGAGTCGGGGAGTGATCGCTCCATTGGTTGCCTGCTTGGCTCAGTTTTCCTACCGCGAGAGGAATGTTCTCACCCACATGAT